CCGCTCCCCCCCAGCCCAGCGCCTCTGCCTGCTGCCCCGACTGCACCTCCCCTCATCTCCCCTCACCAGGAACATCCCGGTTACACCCACCCACACAATAACACATTTCCCCACAAGCTTCTTCCTTCCCATCCCCACCTTCTGCCGCTGGCTTCTCCCCCGGCTTCACTCTGGCTCCCTCGGGTTCCCACACTAGGAGCTGGGCCCGTCCCTGGCCAGCGCTCGCAGACACAGACTAGCTCCCAGCAAGCCGGGAGAGGCCTCTGTTTGGACCACGGATGCATGAGGGCCTGTTGCGCACCCAGGCTGGAGTGGCTCCGAGCCTGCTGGGAAACACGCTGTATAAAGGCCCTGGCGTCTGATGCTTTCCATCTCCCATCTGCTGGGATGCTGGGTAGAGAAATATTCAAGTCACAGACTGACATCCCGGCACACCCTGGTGCCCCTGAAATGGCCATTGAATTGGTAACTCCGCACTGAGGCAGGAAGAACCATTTGCAGCTACAAAGCTCATCAACTCCACCAGGATATGGGATCTCAGGAGTGAATTCACGAGGGGGCTGGCACTGGTCTTCAAACCAGCACACTCTCTCTTTGCTTTCTTGTCCCAGACATTTGTGTAGTTCAGAACAACTCGCTGGACACGTGTGTCGGGGCCAACTGTGAAATATTCACGAACCTGGGGGGTACCGTGCCTGAGGCCTTAGGGACGAGTCAGAGCTGCCGTGCGCCCATCCCATGGCCCTGGGCTCGGGAGGGTGCCGGACGAGGGCTGCTCGGGGGGATGGTGCTGTTGGCGACGGGGTAACCAGGAAGGCGTCACAGGGGCTGTTCAGGGCTGGCTGGTGAATCTGAAGAAGGGAACAGCCACCAGCTGCGGGGAGGGGCTGCCCCATCCTGTGCAGCTTGGCCCTGCCTGAGTGCCCTCGGCTGGCTGCCTGGGATCCCTGGGCACACGCCGGCCGGGCCTCTGTTCCTGGGCAGGCTCCAGGCCGGGGGCAATTAGCTCTTGCTGCTGTACGAGGCGTCTGTGCCTGATTAGCCCCTGGTCACACCTCAGCCTCCGCCTGTGTCCCAGGGGCGGGGGGAGTCCCCGGTGCTGCTGCCAGGATGCTGGATAAATACTCCCCGTGCCTGGCAGGCTGCAGCCTGCGCTCCAGGCAGCCGGGCCCGGGGGCTTGTTCCTTCCACTGAAGATCATTGTCCTGCCCACCCGGTGAGTCGGCTGCGCGGAGAGACGGGGGTGATTCTCTGACCCCTCTGTGGGGAGACTCCAGGCAGAGACCAGCCCCACAAAGC